CAGTTATGTACAATTACTCCCCCTACCCTTTGGGCATATTTCCTTGGGGATAATTATAGGATCAAAGGTATTAACAGCTTTTCAACACTCATTATTCACAGAGCCATTCTGAGTTTCAGGAACATGGAACCCATTTAAAAACCTGCCACGTATGTGTACGTTCATGGATTCCCCACCCCAGTCATTGAATATTATCAATTTAACTTCCTTTCCCAGTTAAGTAGGTGTGTGATGATACCTAAAAGCTGGTTTTCATTTGCATTTTTAATTTCTAGCCAAAACACGCTTTCCTTGTCAGGAGGAACAAGTTCTATTTCCACATGTGGGTACATCTGCTTAATCTCCTTTGAGCAGGTGTCAAGAATTATAGCAATTGATGCTTTGTGCCTTTGATCAGTTATTTCTGTGCTGTGTATTAGGTTGCTTCCATTTTTAAAAAGCTGCATTGTTATATTTTGATAAGCAAACTTTTGGGGGGTTCATATACATTTATTGAATACCAGACATTAAAAAAATGTGGGTACCTGAGTCAGAATCTCCGCTATGGATAAGATGGTCCACCTGCCATATTTTTCATCAACCATTCTGATGAAGATGAAAAAGTGATACGACCCAGTATTGGCAAGGATGTGGCAAAATGGGCTTCTGGTGTATGGCTTGGCATTATTTAATTATAGATGTTTATGTTATTTGACCTGACCTAGCATTTCCACTTCAAAAGCCTTTCTTCATGTGTGCAAAAGATCTATGTCACAGCATCTTCTCAGCAGCATTGTTTCCAGTGTTTGAAAAGTAAAAACCAGAAACAACACACATGCCCAGCAGTGGGGAGATGGTTAAAGACTTTATAATGTGCATATATATTTATATACGTACACACAAATACATACACATGCATACATATGTATATATGTGTATATATATATTTCACACATATGCATATATATTATATATATATAGTGTGTGTGTATGTATATATATATATTTATATTTACAATGGAATACTACACAGCCAGGAAAAAGGACAAGGTTGCTGCTGGCATCGAAAGATGTTTAACACATATTTTTCAGTGAAAAAAGCAAGTTGCACAACGCTATTTACAATATGATCCAATTTTTTTTTTTAAATAATAAGATGTGTAAGATTTCCTTAAAGATGTGGAATTAGAGAATTACAAGGAATTTTTACTTTCTACATGACGTTTTTCTGGAATGTATGAATTAGTCACGTGTTACTTTTAAAATTAGATAATTAAAT